GTGATCTACAAAGTGATTCCAGTCAAGCCATCAAAGGCATAAAGGTAAACTCTGTTTTCAATACCTTGGAATCTTTCCATGTCTGCCAGCCTGGTCTCCCACCTTGTTTAGGGCATGACATATTTGAGGGTGTCTTATCCTATGATGTTGCCTTGTACTTGAAGTATTTCATTAAGAAGAAACAATGGCTTACATATTCAGTTTTGAACCGACGCATCAAGCAGTTCAAGTACAAAGGTACTGATGCTCTTACAAAGCCATGTGCTGTCAACTCTGAGGTGCCTAAGCTTTCGGGGCAAGCCATTCAGAATTTGAATTTTTTAAGGTTGCTTCCTGTATTAATTGGTGACAAAGCGCAAAATCCAAAAGATGACGTGTGGCAGTTAACACTTCAGCTTAAAGATATAGTTGATTTGATTTGTGCACAAAAAATTTCATCGTCACAGGTAGCCTATCTTGACATTCTAATCCAAGAATATTTGGAATCAAGAAAGTCTTTATTTGCTGAGAGTCCGTTAAAACCAAAACATAATTTCTTACGACATTATCCGGCACTAATCTTTAAATTTGGACCCTTGATTCGATTATGGACGATGCGTTTCGAAAGTAAACACAGCTACTTCAAGAGATGTGCCAGGCATTTGAAAAACTTTAAAAATGTCTGCCTAACTTTATCTGAAAGACATCAGATGTATCAGGCATATCTTTCAGCTGGGCCTGGATGCAGCCAGCTTCTGCAAGTCAAAGACAGTTGCACTTTTTACCCCAGTCTTTACAGTGAGTCAATTAAACATGCAGTGAGAGAGTTTCACTTTTCAGAGATCGATACCAGTGTATCCACAGACATTACGTATAAAGGTACGTCTTATAAAAAGGGCCATTTCCTTGTGTCAAAAAATGATGAGTCCATTGAGTTTGGCGAACTTCTCATTATTTTAATTCAAAATGATGAAGCTGTGTTTTTTGTGATGGAAATACATAAAGCTGACTATCATTCTGAATACCATCTGTACTCTGTGACAAAACAGAGTACCGTTCACCCGGTAGTTCGCAATCATCCTGTTACAGCAGCTCCCAAATCCCTGATATAGACTGGGTGGATACCTTTCTGATACCATGGGATAAGTTCCCGGAGGAGCTTATGCAGTTTTTGGAGAGGGGAAAACGACCAAGTCCACGTATGAGAAGAGAGATGGTCCGGATTGTGGTGAATGAGATCATGCGAAAATGCTCTTGCCCAAGTAAAAGGAATTCTATTGAAGTTGCCAAAAAGTTTGTGGCGAAATATCCCAAATCTCTGCAAGACATAATAGAAGGAGATGTCATTGGGCCAGGGTACCATTCTTTAGTTAAGCAGTTGCAATATAGGATTGAAAATGTGAAGCGATCTTCCACACCCAAAATAAGAAAACGAAAGCATTGTACTGATGACTCTGACACTGATGAAATTCCTCCAGAACAGAGAGCAGCAATCCAGGATACTTATGGGTGCATTAACTGGGACGTAAAATTCCTGCCCCTTGGAGAGACCCCTGAAAGCCAACAGGAAAAGAAAGAAAAACTGAAGATGATGTCTCAGCAAACTGCTGCAAATCTAGAGGAGGTCAAACATCTAATGAAGTTGACTTTCTACACACAGCGTAAACAAGTCAACCAGGGTAAAAATATAAAATGCCTTCTGGAGGAGTGGCCATTTTGGTTCAATGAACTTGGCATGGCAGTTCACTTCAAGGAACTTACCGGAATTGGTCTTAAAGAAACTTTCATGCGGAATCTGGAATTGAAGGGGAAACGACTCTTGAACTACTTCAGTGCTGTTGGTGTGAACAAGAACCAAAAATTCCTGCAGGCTGTAACGAAGTGTAACGTGATGAGGGAACAGGTGGGTGGTTGCTCTCAAGACGTGACCGAGATGTTGCTGCTTTTGCTCTCCTACTTTAACGAGAAGGAAGACGCAATGTTCCATTATGTGGAGGACACAAGCCTGGCAGAGGAAGTAGAAATGGACAAAGTAAATTTGACTCCCACCCTTGTTGTGTGTGGTAAGTTAATTTTTTTTTCTTTTTTTTTTTCTCCCATTCTTGGTGTTTCAGTTTCTCTGCCATTTCTAATTTTTGGTAACAATTTACAATAAGGTTTCATTTGTTCCATTAATTGAATTAGTAAATGTTAACCAACAACGATTAATAAATGCTGTAGAAGTATATTGTTAAATGTACATTTATGTTAACTGTTAACTAATAATGTAACCTTACTGTAAAGTGTTCATTTTTTTTACTGTTATGTTTTTATAATTAAATATTAAATATAAATTGATTTAAATGTATTTTCTTCTTTCTTTTTAGGTGGATCCTGCTTTTCGTCGAAGCGATTCATGCTGTGTGTGGATCGAAATGTTGTACATGACAACATCCCCTCCTTCATTTCTGCCCTCTGCATGATGTTTGGGAGCTATTATTGCTTTAACATCCATTACCCCTCAGAACTGGCATCGACCCTGGAGTTTTTGCAGAGGTATGTGTTTTTGGATGACCTTTATACAACATTGAACTGAAATAAATCTAAAGTATCTAAAGTAGTGACTTGGGGGTTCATATATATTTATATATATATATATATATTTATTAATTAGTGCTGGGCAAAGATTAATCATGATTAATCGCATTAAAAAAATAAAAGTTTTTGTTTATAATATATATGTGTGTGTGCTGTGTATATTTATTATGTATATATAAAGACGCACATACAGTATATTTTGAAAATATTTACATGTATATATTTATATTAATATAATTTATATTATATTTAATATATAAACATAACATATTTTTCTTAAATATATATATGCATGTGTGTGTATTTATACATTGG